CTTCGTTTTTTCTTTTTTTTTTCCTTCATTTTTTTTTTTGTTTTTCTGTTGCTCGTCTTATTTCTTTTTCTCCGATCTCGTTTCTTTTTTCCGTTTTTTTTTTTGTTTTGTCTACTGAATGTTTTTTTTTCGTTTTGGGGGGGTACCAGCAGACTGACGTTCGGGAACTCCACGCCCAATAGTCCGAGCCTGGGCACCGCTCGGCGTACCGGCTGGCCGAGGCTCAGAATCGATAGCTGGGCCAAGTACTGGTGGCCAAGTACTGGTGGTGTAATCTCAAGGCCCGGATCCTTTTTTTTTCCAGAAAACAGGGAAACCGTAATCACTTTTGGCGTCACTTTTGCACCCTGGCTGAGCCGGTAACGGCCGCTGTGTAAAAATGGGGGGAAAGTGTTTTGCAGGGTGCAAAAATGATGCCAAAAGGCCCAAAAGTGATCTTGGGGATGGGGCACCTTTTTCCCGGTTTGGGGGAAATGCATACAAAGGTTTTGTTGCGGGGAGGTTTTATGACTTTTCCCTTCTTTTTTCTTTTCAAGAAAAACTCCTAGAGTGAGGACGACGCCCACAGACTGCCTGAGACCGGGGGCCAAGTCCCACTAGCAGCGTTCAATGCCTGAATCTGGACTTGTTGGTAGATATGTGCGGTTGAGGATACTCAACGCCGTTTGTGCACATTTCCTCAAACACGTACAGATTCAGGCCTTCAGGAAACTCGGCGCTGCTAGTGGCACTTGAAGGGTGTTGAGAATGGAGGAGGGAGAAGCCATCAGGCCATGAGAAGGACTCGAGGGAATAGAGGTGGCTACTTCTGGGCCCAAGTCCCACATACCCCAATTCTCAATTTCTGACCATAGATTATGAAGATCAACAGCCATAAAATATCAATCAGAGGAAGAGGGACTGGGCCGCACAGGGGAAATGTAGAGGTTCCCTGGCCTCAGTTGGTATGTTTTGAATATGAAAAACTGCAAGCGTGCTATAAAAGGAAAGGAAGGTTTCCTCTTGAAGCACAAAGACCACACATTCTTAAGGAAAAAAAAAAAAGGGATAATTTGTCTGGCGCCCCTGTATTTTCCATTCTTTGCATCGCGCCCCTCCACAAGGCAAATTTTCCACAAAACCTTGGTGTCGTTTGGGCCTCATATGTTTTCGTAGTGCCCCTACCAGTACCCACACCAAATCTGCAGCATGCCCCTACCGGATAACCGTTGGAAAATTTTCTGACATGCCCCTACCGCACCGGTACCATCGATCTTTCGAACAGGTAAGTATCCAACCTCATGGCTGATCTCATGCTACTTCCATCGATAGATTGAGCAAAATCGAATGAATCTACCTCTAGAACATGGAAATATACACTGCCACACCTTTTTTTTTTCCTTTTTTTTTGTGTGTGTGTGTGCGAGAGAGAGAGAGAGAACATGTCAGTGTCCAACCTCAGATAGGATGAGCAAAATCGAATGAATCTACCGCTAGAACACGGAAATATACACTGCCACACTTGTTTGTTTGTGTGTGTGTGTGTGACAGAGAGAGAGAGACAGCTGACCTCATGCTACTTCCATCTATAGGATGAGCAAAATCGAATGAATCTACTGCTAAAACATTGAGATATACACGGCCACCCTTGTGTGTGTGTGTGTGTGTGTGTGTGTGTGTGTGTGTGTGAGAGAGAGAGAGAGAGAGAGAGAGAGAGAGAGAGAGAGAGAGAACACGTATCTTTCACATACACACACACAAACAAGTGTGGTAGTGTATATTTCCATGTTCTGGGGGTATATTGATTCGATTTTGCTCATCCTATCAATGGAAGTAGCATGAGGTCAGCTGCAAGGTTGGAGACTTGCATGTTCTCTCTCTCTCTCTCTCTCTCTCTCTCTCTCTCTCACACACACACACACACACACACGCACACGCACACACACACAAAAAAAAAAAAACAAAAAAAAACAAGTGTGGCAGTGTATGTTGCCATGTTCTAGCGGTAGATTCATTGGATTTTGCTCATCCTATCTATGGAAGTAGCATGCGGCCAGGTTGGAGACTTACCTGCTCTCTCTCTCTCTCTCTCTCTCTCTCTCTCTCTCTCTCTCTCTCACACACACACACACACACACACACACACACGCACACACACGGGCACACACACACACAAACAAGTGTGGCAGTGTATATTTCCATGGTCTAGGGGTAGATTCATTCTATTTTCTATTTTGCTCATCCTATCCACACACACACAAACAAACTCGCAGGGAAGAGATTGACATGAACCAAAAGCAGAGGAACAGCGAAGAGCGAGAACAAAGAGGGCAAGACGGCAAAACTCCAAGCAGCGGAACAGGAGGATGACCTTCACTATCTTCTCCGCGCTGCAAGCAGCCGAGTGTCTACTGCACTCCAGCAGCTTCTGTGCGGAGTCAAGAATGGGTTAGAAACCAACTCAAATTTTAAGAGTCTCACTGCTGCAGGGGCATGACAGGAAGATGGCTGCCCCTTATGAGGACATATGGCGCAGACCCCAACAGAATGGGACCGCCAGTTGATAGCGTCCTGGAAAGTTGCGCCCACTACCCAACAAGGGCCTGCCGAAAATATTTTTAGACCAGGGGCGCAACAGGGTGAATCTACCGTCGGAGGGTGCCCAGCAAAATAATGGAAAATACAGGGGTGCCAGACAAAATTTCCCAAAAAAAAAAGAAAAGAAATGAATAGTCATCGCTGAGTGGCCATCTCATGTGGAGTACTATTCTTTCACTTTTTTTTCCTAACGAAGCATAGAATAGGGGAGGAGGGCTGGACGGACGAAGCGGGATGCCGGCGCCGTAGCGCTCTGCTCCCGTGACGCGCGCGCTAGTTTCATAGGCGTGGGGCTTAGTGCCATAGCCCAGTGCGCTTAGCACTGGGAGAGACGTGTTCTTTCAGCTGTCAATCCTACCGAGGGTTGAGCACGAGTAGACAAGAGACCTTTGAACCGTCGAAGAAAGATGTTAGTTTACACGAACCAACAGAACAATCCAGAACAAGCTTGAAACGAAGAACGCTGGGAAGCAGCGTCCTTCCGATGGAACACCTCTAAACTATGCGCCTCATGGATGACGGGTGGATCGGGGGAAATCCGGATTTTGGACATACACGTCTCTGAATGTGGGCGACAAGCAATCAGGACAGTAGGGCTTCTCAGAGATGCATGTGATTGAGTTTGGAGTAACTGTGCAGCTAGTGGGACCGTGACATGAGGAATGGGGAGATAGGGTAAGGAGTAAAGGTGGATGAACGTTCGGGGCAAGCGGATAAAGGACAGTAGAAGTACAGCAGGCGGGTAGGCTTGGGTGAAGCTCTGGGGGAGAGCACAGCCGAAGCCGAAAGGGGGTGCAAGTGGAAGAGCGTAAAAGTAAAACACTTCGAAAGGCGGCGGAAATAGGGGAAAGGAACAGTAGAAGCCCCACGCACTGAGGCCAAGGGAAGTGCGGATGATCTTCGACCGTGCAGACAAGTGAGTTTCAGGCGAGTTTTCTAACCCTGCTCAATACGGAAGAAGGGCCATGATCGGGGCTACCGGCGGTTGAACTCGGGTGGAATCTGAAGGGCGAAGGCTCGAGCATCACGGCAGGCAATGAGACTGTCAGTGGAAGAAAGTAGCCACGAGGGACACTTGGAGGGGGAGAGCTGCAAATAGGGCTCTTTTTTTTTTTTTTTTTTTTTTTTCACTGCTTGATCGGCTGTAGGGGAAAGAGAACTTCATGAGCAATGATCTGTGCTGAATGTGGAGCTTCATCTTAAGGTCGACAGTTCGAAATCTTTGGCAGCAAGTGAGAAGGTGGAAGGGAGTGGTACTCGCCGCGAGAGTATGTAGGGCAGTTTCTTGAACAAGGGGGAAGAAGGAAAGCGGGAAGAGACAACCGCGTTAACACCAGGGCCAGCAGAACTCGAAGGCAAGTGTTTGAACCTCAGCCGAGCACACGAGAGTTGAGAGTCAGTGACAGCGAGGATCAGTCTTCAGGAACGTTTTTTTTTTTTTTTGGAAAAAACAGGAGACGGCGGCGGGATTCCAATGGAGTTGAACGTCCGGTGCTGGACCCCTGTGGGTGTGAACTTAGATGGGTCTGTGTGATAGGGCAGTGCCATCAGCCTCAAAACGATAAGGATGGAGTATTGAGAGCGAAGGATGTCGAGCTGAGGAATAGACAGGATGGTATTCACAGATCAGGGGGTGATAATGACGATACTGATGATGATGATGATGATAATAATGAAGGTGCTAATGATCATGAGGATCATAATGGTGATAATATGAATCGTTCAAATCAGATGACTGGGGATGGCAATGAAGATGGTGATAATGAAACGTTGGAATCGTTGGAATCACCTCAAAACGGTGATGGTGGTGGTGGTGGTGGTGGTGGTGGTGATGATGATGATGATGATGATGATGATGATGGTCATGATGATCATCATGATGATGGTGATGATGATCATCATGATGAGGATGATGATGATGGAGATTATGGTGATATGAACCGTTTGAATCAGAAGACTGGGGTTGAAGAAAGGGAAGATGATAACGCAGGTCTGGGCGGTACAGTCTATTGGGATACGAAGAGAAGTGAAGACAGGAGAGTGGATTTCAAAGCTTCCAACGACACGAAAGGCAGTGAGCAGAAGGAGAGTGAAGACAACAGTGTTGAAAAAACTCGTGACTGGCAGTGGAGGAGACGGGATTGGCGAATTCCGTGGTGCAGAGAGAGAACGCTCTGAGTGTCTCTGTATGTGTGCGTTCGTGTGTGTGTGTGTGTGTGTGTGTGTGTGTGTGTGTGTGTGTGTGTGTGTGTGAGAGAGAGAGAGAGAGAGAGANGAGAGAGAGAGAGAGAGAGAGAGAGAGAGAGAGAGAGAGAGAGAGAGAGAGAGAGAGAGAGAGAGATCATTGAATCATCATTTGAATCATTGAACATCATTGAACAGAGGGATCATTGAACCTTCGCTGAGGGGTTTCAGATCTCCATGAAAGTGTTATTGACAGAAGCAAGGTAGTTGCCAAGAGGATAGGCTTGCTCAGGTTATGTTGTTCATTATCTAGGGGCTAGTCTTCAGTTGTCAAAGGCAGAACTTTATGATCCTCAGAATTGGTTGTTACAAGTCTGGGTACAGTGGGTAGCGGGACTAGATGCCAACTCATTTCAGGCGCCGTGGGGTGAAGAGGTCCCATTTTGTTGCTGATAGCCCAGAGAGTTTGTGAACTATGAGAAGTTACCTGATGTTGTTTCCATTGGAAGGGACGCTGGACCCTGTTTCCAGCAGGTGCAGCTCCCCACCAATAGAAAGGAGCCATCGGAACCTCGCCGGCTTCTACCCTCTAGGGCTCTTACCACCCAAGGGGTAGATCACCTGGCCCTGAAGGATGATTAAGAAAAAAAAAAAAAAAAAGAGAATAGAATACGGTGGGGTGAGCACAGAAAGCGTACTATTCTTTCACTTTTTTTTTCTTTTTTTCTTTTGGACCATTTCTCGATTTATGCGTGTCATCCTTGCGCAGGGGCCATCCTAATCTTCGCTGTATCGTTCCAATTTTAACGGATATCCGTTCTTCTTTCACATTTTTTCGCTAACGAAGAGTAGAATACCGTGGGGTGAGCCCAGAAAGCAGCTTACGCAATTGTTGCGGGGGCTAGGTCCCACTTACACGAATTAAGCGATATTGACCGTAGATAACAAAGATCAACGGCCAGAATCTCTTAATCCGTGCAAGGGGGACCTTGACCCGGGCATCTTGTTCTATCGAGAGGTCATTTTGAAAAAAAGAACATGATAAAAAAAGAGGAATAGAAAGAAAGAAGGTGCAGAAAAGCTCGCTATTGCATATATAAAAAAAAATAATAATAATAAAAAAAAAGCTCGCTATTGTCCCCGCTTCGCGCGTAAGTGACCGCCTGCATTGCCTTTACGCCTACCGGAAAGATGGATTGTATTATTATGTGTATACATTCATTATCAGGGCGCGTTGTATTCGGGAGAGGACGGTTGCAGGACGACAGATGAAAGGGAATCCAGAATGAGCAGAGCACGATGACGGTAATCATTGGTCTTTGGGCCGGAAGAGATCACGCCGTTCTATGGCGCGGTTTACATCCAGGAGACATATTAAACCATCGGTGAGGCCTTCGGGACATCCGTTAAAATTGGAACGATACACAGAGAAAGAAGACTAGCATGGCCTCTGTTCACGGAAGGATGACACGCATAAATCGACAAATGGTCCAAAAAAAAAGAAAAAGAAAAAAACATCGTTGACGATACACGGCCTCTCGATAGAACAAGAGGCCTGCAAAAGTTTGCGTTAGCTGCTTTTGTGTGCTCACCCCACGGTATTCTATTCTTCCTTTCTAATACATGAAAGAATCGTACGCCACATGACATGGCCACTCAGCGATGACTATTCTTGCTCAAAAAGAAAAGCGCGCTTTTTGCAAACTTGCATTTTATATTAAGAAGACACAAACTGATGCCGTTGAACCTCGACATCTCCACGCGGAGGTCACCAGATCTAAGTCCCCTACCCATCTTCACCCGAGTTTGAACGCCCGGTAATTATCGCTCCATATGGACTGAAAGCTGCCGCAAGTACAGCGATAATGACCGGGGGCTAGGTCCCGCTTGCACGAATTAAGAGATGCTGACCGTAGATAACAAGGATCGACGGCCGAAATCTCCTAATTTGCGCAAGTGGGATCTTGCCCCGGGCGCTCCATTCGGGTAAAGACTGTAGCCCTACAGTCTTCCCCCGAATACAACGTACGGTCATTATAGCTGAATTTAGAAGGAAAGATAGAACAAATTCGGCTATAATGACCGTACGTTGTATTCGGGGGAAGACTGTAGGTGGACTCTTGGCCGAAAAATTGGAGAGCAGGATGACACTGGGTGAGGGGGTATCGAAATTAGCGACGTCAGACCAGGAAGCAGAAGATTGGCAGTGTGGGTGGACATGAGAGACAGCAAGGAGCAAGGAGCAGGAGAGGAGGACGAGGAGGAGCAGGAGTGGGGAGTACATGACGGCAAGCGGACGGAGAAAAGAAGCGGGAGAAGCACCTACGGTCTTACCCCGAATACAACGTACCTGTCATTAGAGCCGAATTTGGGGTGTCTTTCAGTCTACATACAGAAGTAATGACCGTACGTGGTATTCGGGGGAAAGAACTTCAGAGGAAATCGACGCATGGAAGGATAAACACGACGAAGCGACAAAAAAGCAACGAGCAGACGAGGAAATGCTGATGCAGAACACGGAGGAGAGGGAGGAGGAGGAGACATTGAGACAGTGATGAACGCACACACAGCTGAGTCGTAGATATCGAACGAATGGGACGCAGAACGCACGGCCTTGATAGGAGGAGGAGCAGGAGGACGAGGAGCAGTGGGTGATGAATGAAGTCAAAGCGTACGACTACAGGCAGATGTCGAAAGAATGAGATGCAGAACACAGGGCCGTGCGGAGAAAGGCGAAAGAACTTGGTCGTCTGGGATGACAAGGGCGAGGAGGAGAAGGAGGAGGAGGAGGAGGAGGGAAGGAGAAACAGAAGAACGGGGATAGACGAGATTAACGGAGTTCATCAACATAGAAAACGCAAAGAAGAGGATGTCCAAAGCGTATAAGCAGACACAGGCCCGTAATGTGGACGGCTCGGGCGAAGAGACCAGAACAGACATTGACGCACCTTTTCGCATGAACACCACCGGCGTAAGAGACGCGCTCCTCTCCGCTTGCAATCCTTTCGTGGTTGTGACGAGAGACGCTCTTCTCTCCACTTGCAATCCTTTCGTGGTTGTGACGCAAACACCAAGAGCTCGCTCCGTGCTTATCCTATTCTCCCGCCCCTGAGTTCTTAACGGTGCTTTGGCTGTCCCGCCCTTGCGCGCCCCGCTCAAGCTGAATACAATTCGGATTTTCGACCGTCTTTCCGCCGCCGTCCTGTCGATGGTGGTATGGCCGCACCGCCCAATGTGCCCCCGCCGAAACTCCCTAGCACATGACTCCCCGCCAATCGCGCCCTTGTTGGCGGCCGCGTCACAGAACCCTCGTACGACACAGTTTGACCGCCTCTTCTTATGAGTAGCATCTATGCTTGCCAGCGTCTCCTCTATACGCTGACAGTCAGATCCCACTTTTTTTTCTTTTTTTCTTTTTTGGAAAAAACGGGATCCCACTACTTTCCCGTTGACTTCGGGGCGGCCCTCTTTTGTCGGGCATGTGGAAACTAAGGTCCAGATCCCACTGGCAAAGAGGATTGGAAGAAATGTCTGAATCTGAACGTGTTTGTGGACATTTGCGAAAAATTGTGATTGATCTACTTTTCTGCACCTCTGCGTGCAACATGTCCAGATTCAGACATTTCTTCCAATCCTCTTTGCCAGTGGGATCTGGCCCTAAGTTGTACGTGGTGCAAGGAGCGCGATTGGAGAACCCGTAGTTCTTTCAAAAATCAAAAGACCCCATCCCCTACCCTTTTTTTTTTTTTTTCTTAATAAAAAAAAGGGCGGCAGTCTTGAGATATATCCACAGGTGACCAGGAGGGGGATCCCACTAGCCAGGTACGTGGACTAGTGTGACGGGTCGGGGACGGGTGGGGGACAGGTGGGTGGCAGCGTGAAATAGGGAAAATAAACGTAAAAAAACGAGGGCAAGAGCAACTCCATTCACCATTTGCTGTAGGTGAGGGGATCGAACCCTCCCAGACACCTCCCAAAAAATAAGGGGGCACATGCATGTCAAAGGAAGAGGACAACAGCATTGCCCATGTGAAACATTTGCGGGGACTACAGACAACTTGGATGAGGGTCTGACACGGACTGACATTCCCTCATGATGGGAAACACCGAAAAATTTTGTTTTCGACCTCTCTTCCACGCATGGGCCACGACCCAAACATGAGTGAAAGGTGAGTGAAAAGCAACACAAAAAAAATGGGTCTGATTTTCACTCACGTTCGGGACCCCCAGAGGAACACGGCAAGCAAAACAAAAGAAAGACCACCCAATGGGATGCTCCAAAAAAACATATATTTTCGAGGGCTAAAATACAGGAAAAACAAAACCACCTATCCCCATTCCCATCGACGGCGGAGGCGGGTCACACGCCCTCTACACTACTCCACATACAATGCTAGTGGGATCTCCCTCCAGGGGCCTTGACCCACTAGCGGAGGTTTAGTTTACGTTTCGTGTATTTTCCAACGTGGCCACACTAGGGCCGTGAGATTTTCAGATCGGATGGCAAGGAGCCATGTACACTCGAAACCAGAACAAAACCTCCAGAAGTGGGACATGGCCCCGGCCCTGGGGAATGACTTATTGAGCTTCCTTATTGAGCTTCCTTATTGAGCTTGTTGTGACAGGTATGTGGAGAGTTTTTTTGCCTCTGGAAATATCATGAAATTGAGATCTCAACCCTGATAAGCATCGTAATTATGAACGTCAGCTATGATGATTCTGACTAAGAGCTCTACCTGAGAGCTCTTTTTATTGGATGTGTATTGGCCGCAGCAGGACCTGAGCAGCCACTTCCACTTGGCCCAATGCTCCCGTATTGCAACGGGTTACAGGGCGGCACAACTCGCCCCAGCAAGTTACCAGTGTTGACTGGCCGTGGCCACCAATCCTTCAGGCCACTGAAAATGACGACAACGGGAATAGAAACCAGCACCTACCTGGTGCTGCTCAGGCATGAAACCTACTGAGCTAGCCGACGGGACCCTGCACCTTTCAAAAATCAAAAGACGCCACCCGCTACCCTGCACCGTGAAAGAAGGTGCCCGCCGCCCGGTACCCTTGTTTGTCTCTTTCTGTTTTTTTTTTCTTTTCCTTCTCTTTCTGTTTTTTTTTTCTTCTCCTAATGTGCAGACCGTAGGATCGTGGAGGCGCCACAGGATAGCGCCGCTCGGTTAGGAAAAGACCCCCAAAAGTGTGGCATGTGGGGTCACATTGTTCTTTTACGTTCCCCGGGCTCGAGAGGGCAAAACCCCTGCATCACCAGATTGGCCAGGGTCTGTTCG